TCGTGATGATGACACTGAGTGGCCGATCGTCATATAAAGGCGATGGTCACCATCCAGGAAGGGATGGCGAGCCCAATCACATAGAGGCCGAGGGACCGTTCATGATGCATGGGCGTCAGCACTGAGAGGTCGTTCCAAAGTTCAAGCATCGATCCTTATCCATAAAGTGAGAGAATGGGGACGGTCTTCAGAGTATGATGATCACGTTGAGTCTGAGGGGTCTGCCGTGATGTGGGGATGAATGTCGTTGATGAAGTCGTTCGTCACATGAAGGCGAGGGTCGCCATCCAGGAAGGGAATGGCGAGCCGCTCGCCAGCTCAAGACGCTCGGCGTTGAGAAGGCCGGTCTTGAGATAAATGATTACGTTATGACCGAGGGGTCGGCCGTGATCTGAGGACGAACGACGATGAGGAGTCGGTATTGATGACAAGGCGATGATGAAGCCGTTCGTCCTATATCTTAAGACTCTCGGCGCTGAGGAAGCCGGTCTTGAGATAAAGGGTCACGTTGAGACCGAGGGGTCTGCCGTGATCTGGGGACGTACGGAGATGATGAGCCGGTCCTGATGACGAGGCCATGGTGAAGTCGTTCGTCATATATGCTCAATACTCTCAGCGCTGAGGAAGCCGATCTTGAGATAAAGGATCACATTGAGACCGAGGGGTCTGCCGTGATCTGGGGACGTACGACGATGAGTAGCCGGTCCTGATGACGAGGCGATGGTGAAGTCGTTCGTCATATAGGCTCAAGACTCTCGGTGCTGAGGAAGCCGGTCTTGAGATAAATGATCAAGTTGAGACCGAGGGGTCTGCTGTGATCTGGGGATGTACGACGATGAGTAGCTGGTCCTGATGACGAGGCGATGGTGAAGCCATTCGTCATATAGGCTCAAGACTCTCGGTGCTGAGGAAGCCGGTCTTAAGATAAAGGATCACGTTGAGACCGAGGGGTCTGCCGTGATCTGGGGACGTACGACAATGAGGAGCCAGTCCAAATAGATGATGACGAGGCGTTGATGAGGCCGATCGTCATGTAAGCCCAAGACTCACGGCGCTGAGGAAGCTGGTCTTGAGATAAAGGATCATGTCGAGACCGAGACCCAAAAGCAATCATAGTGCCTCCTCGGCCAGAAACACAAAAGGCAGCCAACGACGCCCAAAGAGAGGTCATGTCACCCTCACGACTGAGACCGCACATCGTCCTTCAAATGAAGGACATTCACCGTCCGCAGAAACGAGGTACCCACGACGGCCCAATTATGGCACGACCTCGTCCAGGAACACTCGAACTCCCATGTAATCCTTCGTCGGCCAAAAGCATCAAAACAACAGGAATCTACTCCCTTTCACTTCGTCTACATCTCAGCTCAGAGAGTGGGGGACTCCTGATGGAGTATATGGGTCCAGACCCCATGACCGACATACTTAGAAGACTAAGAGGAAGCACAGCTGTCACTCAGTGGGTCCTCCATCGGGCAGATGGCCCTCCATCGACCAGATAAACATCAACTGAGAATATGGTCCAGAAGCCAGGAAAACCGGGGTGCCCCCATCGACCGGGTCTCTGTCGGCCACGGCTCCATCAGCCAGACCTCCATCGGCCACAGAGAGCTCGAATAGTTGGAATCCATACTTAGCCAATTCACATACTGTGTATTCGGCCCAATAGATGCATCATTGTAAACGGGGCTCCCAAGCCCAAGACTTGGGAGCCCAGCCCACTTTTCTCCTATAAATACTCCCTATGGGAGCCATGTAAAAGGGTAGGAAATTCATTTATACATATCAATTTATCACTCTAGTTCTCCCTTTTCTCTAGATAATTAATCTATCAAAGATAGATTCCCTATCAATAAGAGACTTGAAAGATAAAGTGTGTCGATATAATGTTTGAATGATTGAAAACTATCAATCTAAGACATAAAATATCATAGATTTTGATTTATTTAATTTTTTATTCATTCTATTTCTAATTTTGGATGATTTTTTCTCCATGATACTTTATTATTTTAGTAAGTTTAAATAAAATTTAAATTTTAAAAAAAATTATAAAATTGATGGTACTAGATTGATAGTTTTTAATCATTAGGGGCCTAAATCGATAAACATTATCTTTCAGATATCTTATTGATGGTAAACCTATCTTTCAAGTTCTGTATTGATAAAAATTCTATTGCAATCGACACTTACTTCAACCTAGCTTGTATTCATTCATTTGATGAAAATCAACTATAAAATTCCAACCACGATCTTCTTGACATTGTGGAGAAATACTTATCAAAATTGTATAAAACCATTCAAATAAGGAGAGAGATAATTTATTTGTTAATATATATGTAGCTATTTCTCATGCCACATGTGCACCGTACACATTGTAGCATTGAAGATGTTCTTAGCGGCGAATAAACGCGTCCTAAGTATAATAATAAGAGAGTTTTTTTCCTTAGATTTTCTAGTCTTTTATAGCATTTGTTCAATTCTAAGTTGTTATAAAATAGGTTTTTTTATCATATAAAATACGGAGTAGGTTGTAAAACCCTACAAGCTAATTTTTTAAAATAATATACTAGTAGTTATTATAATTTTAATTAAAAGCTTGGAAGGGGTATGGACCACTTGCGAAGGGGATGAGCTGGGTAGGTTTCTGGAGGGGGCTGGGGGAGGGTGCTGGAGGGGAGCTGGGAGAGCGTTCTGGAGGGGATAGGGGCTGAGGGGGGGGGGGGGGGGGGGTTCTGGAGGGGGCTGGGGCTGCTGGGGGAGGGGTTGTGGATGGGGCTGGTGGGCAGCGGCGGACACCGCCGTGCAGCGTCAATGCAGGGTCAATGCGGTACGAAAACTGTCAACGGGTGGTGCTGGTGGTGTCGAGTGTCACTAGCAATGGCGGTGGTACTGTAACGACGTCACTGTGGTGGTGTTATTGTGACAGCGTCACTATGGCCGATGGCGATAACCGGCAGTGACATGGGCAATGGAGACGGCAGGGACACGAGTGATGGCGGTAGTGAAATCCAATAGTGACATCCGACACTTTATTGTAGTCACATTTTTATCTAAATATAAATGTAGTTACATTTTTGGAAATTATATTTAATTTAATAATATTAATTGAAAAACCCCGTAGGTAGTGTTAGACCGTTAGTACAACTAATACAATGATTTCTATAATTATTAGTATTATTATTAAGTGATTAATTAATTAAGAAAATGTTTTGAACGGGAAATACTACACGGATTTAGGGGTGTGCACTATCCGGTTTAAACCGGAAAACCGGACCGGACCGGAAAAACTGGAACCGGATCGAACCGGAATGATATCCGGTCCGGTTTTCGGTTATGAAAATTTAGGAAACCAGTTTCTGATTCGGTTCCGGTTTAAAACCGGATTATTCCGGTTTGAACCGGATTTAACCGATTTTGCTATATTTTTAAAAATGTATTTACTAATACTATTATAATAATACTTATAAAATAAAAAATAATACTCCATACTAGTAGCAAAATATAATACTCCGTAGCAATCAATTTCATAATAATAATAATATATAATATCGTAATATTATATTTATCCATTCATTTTTAATCTCGTAATAATAAAACTATCTAATATATATTATTCTAGTCTCAAGTTACTCCAATTTTTGCTCACTAAAATTAATTAAAATGAGTTTAGAAAACAATAAGAATAAAAGTAATATTTTTTAATAATAAGTACTCCATCTTTATCAAATGATTAGTAGCTTTTTTAGTAAAGAAAAAATTATATATTTAGAAACCAGTTTTTCCGGTCCGGTTCCGGTTTTGAACCGGATAAACCGGTTCGGTTCCGGATAAAAACCGGAATATATCCGGTCCGGTTTTCAGTTTCCATATAATGGAAAATCCGGTTCCGGTTCCGGGCCGGTTCGGTCCGGCCCGATCCGGTTTTGAACAGGTGCACACCCCTACACGGATTCACTGATTCAAATCATGATTTAACCGGAAACCACATGCAGACCTAAAGGAAACACAAGGAGTAAACTACGAATCGTATCATACCTTATCGATCTGTCTCACTAAGATTGTCCCCTTATCAAATTTGTAAAAATTTGTGTCTCTAAATCATTCTTACTTTATTCTTACTTTATCAATTCAATATCAACCACATGAAACACTTTTTTATTAATTTGCGTGTCACTCCCTTCTGTCCCATTGTTAGCGAGACTGAGAGAGTAATAAATTGAGGATGTGGGTAGAGCCCAGAGGTACTTCATGAGTCTAAATAACTAGTGATAAAATTTAAACAATTCATGGTGCACACCTTCTTATACACATCAGTACACCCTCTTGTCTGTGAGAGTTTCTTTTGTCTGTGAATCCCAGTCCACAGACAAAAACTGACTTGTTTTGTCTGTGAAAATTTTTACAGACAAAACTAACATGTTTTTATCTGTGGGCTGGGATTCACAGACAAAAAAATCCTCACAGACACGGGGATGTACTGATGTACATATGAAGGTGTAAAGGATTTTTTGTAAAATTTATTAGTCTCTTCGTTTAAATTTTATCTTTTCTTTTTTAATTGTCTTCTATTACATTCTCATTAAATTTATTAATTCTTGATTATGCTCATTTATCTCTCTTTTGCTTAAAGCTTAATCATACTACGTATTTTTAAATGAAACAAAAAAAGTAAATTCCAGAAATTATTGATACGAAAAGACCACTTTGGAGAAAATAAAGAGTAACTATTTGTTCTTATCCTAAATCCATGAAAATGAATTGATTTCATTAATAACCCACCATGCAATCATCAATCATTCCGACTAGTACGGCCCCACCTGCGACTCGCGTCGGAAAGCGATTGAAATTATGATCCTGGGATCCTGACCGCCGCATTACGATTCAGCCACGTCGCATGCTCAAACGATTAATGACCGTTCGATATGGACGAGCACTTAAGTAGTAAAAAGTCACTTTTGGCCCCGAACCGGGTATAAATTTAACCCCATACCATTTGGCCAGAAAGTTAGAAATCTCAATTCCCAATATAGAGTGAAGTCTGGAGCAGTTACGCTCACTAGGGAATGCAGAGAGATGAGAGGTTTGCCGCTTTCTAAACCCAAAGTTGGCGGCAGAGCCCACAAACCACCGCACTCCGGCGGCCGAACTTGTCACCGGAAACACGTCGAGGACGGGTGATCCGTCCCCTCTCATACCTTTTCGTAATCCTAAACTATATTGTTCATAAACTTAAAAGTTATTCAAATAGTATTTCTCATAGTTTGAATATTCTGAGATTAGAAATAGGAATATCTGAGATTCAATAATGGCTGCGGCGGAGGAGAAATGCGGCGCTCTGAACGGGAAATACGAGCTCGGGAGGCTATTGGGACACGGTACGTTCGCTAAGGTTTACCACGCCAGAAACCTTCTGACGGGGAAGAGCGTTGCGATGAAGGTAGTCGGGAAGGAGAAAGTGATTAAGGTAATTAAAATGGTTGATGTATGCATTTATTTACTATTGAGTATAAGATTCCGTAATTCAATTGTGTTTCGATTCTCTTTTTGATATGCATTTTGATTTTGATTTATATCGTTGGACGATGATTGATTTTGGTTTAGTGTTTTTGTGATGAATTTTGGCAGTTGTTATAGTAAATGAGTATTTTCTGTGATGTATAAAAAGGTGGGAATGATGGAGCAGATAAAGCGCGAGATATCAGTGATGAAGATGGTGAATCACCCAAACATTGTGGTTCTCCATGAGGTGATGGCGAGCAAAACGAAGATCTACTTCGCCATGGAGCTTGTCCGCGGCGGCGAACTCTTCGCCGCCATCTCCAAAGGCCGGATGCGTGAGGACGTGGCGAGGAATTACTTCCAGCAGTTGATCTCCGCCATAGATTTTTGCCACAGCCGCGGTGTCTACCACCGGGACCTGAAGCCGGAAAATCTTCTCCTCGATGAAGATGGGCACCTGAAGGTGACAGATTTTGGTCTAAGCGCGTTCTCCGACCACCTCCGGCAAGACGGAATGCTCCACACCACCTGCGGCACGCCGGCGTACGTTGCGCCGGAGGTTATTGCGAAGAAGGGATACGACGGGGCGAAGGTGGACATATGGTCATGCGGGGTGATTCTCTACGTCCTCCTCGCCGGATTCCTCCCGTTCCAAGACGACAACATTGTCGCCATGTACAAGAAGATCTACAGGGGAGATTTCAAATGCCCGCCGTGGTTCTCGCCGGAATCCAGAAAGCTGGTGACCAAGATGCTTGACCCGAACCCGGAATCGAGAATCAGCATCGCCAAAATCATGGCCTCCCCTTGGTTCAAGAAATCAATCCCCAGAGCAATGAAGAACAACAACGAAGACGAAGATTCATCAGCCAAAGAAGTGGAGACATTAAACGCCTTCCATATCATATCTCTCTCTCAAGGGTTCGATTTAAGCCCTCTCTTCCAGGAGAAGAAAATGGGTAGAGAGGAGATGAGATTCGCCACAACAGAATCTGCCAGCAGTGTGATTTCAAAGCTTGAAGCAGTGGCGAAAACCAGTAACTTCAGCGTGAAGAAGAGCGACTCGAACGTGAGGTTGCAGGGGCATGAGAGTGGGAGGAAGGGGAAATTGGGAATTTCAGCCGATATCTTCGCCATGACGCCGTCGTTCCTGGTGGTGGAGGTGAAGAAGTCGAGCGGCGACACACTGGAATATAACCAGTTTTGGAGCAAAGAACTGAAGCCCGCCCTAAAGGACATTGTTTGGACATCTCCTGATGAACAAAACTCAACCCCTTCTTGAATAAAAATTAGTGAAAAAATCAGCTTTAATCGCGTTTACTTCTTGAATTATCATTGTTGTTATTCTTATTGTGTTGTGTTAAGTTTGTAATTAGAATCTCCTAATTGGGTTGTCAAATAATGAAAACTTGTCTTGTATCCACTTGATTAGTATTAAATTTCGTCGGGATGTTTCCATCAAATCATTATGGGTTTGATTAAAAAGCAATAGTTGGTTATCCTATTAAAGTGGAAGTCAAAGACAAAGTTGTAGTTTAGGCCTTAGGGTGTTATATTTCTATCCTTTAGGGCCAAAGATCTTCACCCTTTGATAGCTTTGATAGTAAACAGTTCCAAGATTTAGAGCCCGCTTGGTAGCATGAAAATCGGCTGATTTGGCTGATTCTATTGAAATTTATGAAATTCTGCTGATTTAAGAAAAAAATATTTTTAAAATATATTTTATTGATAAAATAAAGATAAAATTATATGTAAAAATAGCTAAAATGGTCATCTACAGTAACTTCAGCAAATACAGCCAGAAAAGTAATTCCAACCTTACTTTTTTTTCTTATTACACAATTCAGCGCGTGCCAGCAAAAGTTACGTGTTTGGTGAAAAAGTTGGTTGATAAGCCTGATAAGCTCAAAACGAGTGTTCCAAAGTCTTGAGGTATCACTTGTTCCAATCAATAAACACTCCATTATATAACTATCTGATAAGTCTTAGACCATATGGCTCTCGGATTTGGGGTCTCTGCAGTTGCGGATCCAGAGATTTGTGAGAGGGAGACCGTCCGATTGAGAATTCAACGATCGAAGATTATTGGGGTCCACTTTTTCACGTATCTCGACACATTCTTCTTCCCATCCGGCCGTCGGTTGCGTAAGGCACCCTCCTAGTCGGGCAGAGGATCTCAATCCATGGCTCTCATAGGGGTGTCATGCTTGTTTGGGTTAGAAGTCTTATGAAGGGTTTAGCTTTAAACTTGATATTAAAACTTAATGGTAAAATAGACCCGTTCATACTTGTCAAGACCTCTCTTCATGTGAAGTCAGATCAGTCCAAATAAACACATCTTTGATTATGAAACTCAAATCACTTTTTGTTTCTTATTTCATATTTTGCAGGTGTTTTTTGGCAAATGTCTGTTTCAGTGATGAATTGGGGTGTTACTGTGTGATGTGTAATCACAACTGATTTGCTTGTATTTGCAAGTTGTGAAAATATCATTGGATCAGTGGCATGGCTGAATTTAGAAGGGGTCCATAAGGTTTTGCTTTCTGTTTGAATTTTAACGTTTTCTTGTTGATATGATATTCTGACCTATCGTTTCGTTGGTTATTAGGCACTCACAATGATACCATGTGCGCACTTCTTTTTTTCTAAAACAAAAAATATTATCTTGAGACATTTAATTTAATAATGTAATGATGATGCATCCTATAATAACAATGAAATACTGAGTATTCTGAACATGTATTTACCAAACAACGATTTTATCTATGAAAAACGCTAAAAGTGATCAAACCGTTACTTTTTTGCTGAAACGTCATTTTCCTAACACTCCATTCACGTAAATAGTGAAGTGTTTAACTTAAGGTTAATTATATTTCGTATGCCCATTAAGGTGACCTACATCTTCTTAATGTCCAGGAATATATATGGTCAGCCACTCGGTCTAGGGTGGTTCCATTCTAATCTATTTTGTTCATGCATTGAATGCCGGAATATAGTTAACTAGTTTTGGATTCACTTCATGTACATTTGTCACTTCTAAATTTCATTCCAAACAATACTTGCTTTGGTAGATTCTATGGTATTAATAAGGTACCGTACCTTTATCCACATGGACCAATGAATGTGTTGCAATTGAATTATTTAATTCTAAATTAAAAATAATATACCTATTTGGACCAATCAAAATGAATGATAGGTACGGTACCCAATTTTTTTAAATGGGTACCGGAGTTGTCACCGCCTTTTAAAGAAAAAAACAAGGTTATAACTTTCCAATATCACCCATTTATAAATGTACCGGAACAAACTTTTCCGTGCATAGTTTTCAATTTCTAATTAGACTTCGGATTATGTTTTGCACTATATGACAAATCATCCGAGTTTTGATCAAGACCTAGGGCCGTGCCCAACCCCACACTTCATTTGAAAACACTTAATTTAGATTGTTTGAACAATTTTAGATGATTTGATTAATTGATCAGTTAAAAATACTGTTTATTCACATAACTTCTATTTATCGTGCCTTGTGAATTTGTGATCTTTTGTTTTCATTTTTAGTTTATCACTTTTGTTATTTTCAACATACTATTGTGTTTTTAATTTTTCTAATTTTAATATAATATTATTATCATTGTTATTATAATTAGTGATGTTGTCATCATTATTTTATTTACTACTCCATATTATTATTTATATTGTTTTTCTCCACATCCAAGTTACGTCATTTCCATTTTATTCAAGATTTCTATGAATCTAGGAATTAAATGAAATGACGTGCATAATATGATTGTAATTATATTAGACCAGTTAATGTTATTCTCAATCAAAGACGGTTAACGAATAGAAAGTTGACGAGAGCTTAGAAGAGTAAAATTGTAATTTAAAACAAAAATTTAATTTTACAACCTTGGAGGAGATTAGAATATATTCCTATTACATACGAAGTATATCTTTGCATTACATATACCTTCCATTACATGTTTTTAATTGCAATATTGTACTTTTTGCACTATTCACATATTCTACTTTGAGTATATTTTATTAATTAATGCATTATAAATTAATTTTTTAAAAAATATTGTTAAATTCTTCCCATTCTTAATTTTCAAATTATGAATTTTTAAATTTTTTTATTAATAGGAATTGAAAAATATTAATGGTCAAACTTATGTGTTGACAAATGTGAAGTGTTGACTGTTGCAATTAAAAGAACACGGAGTAAATACTACATACTTCAATTATTTTAATCCTTACCATTATAATTTTTATCCAATTTATTAATAGACTTTCCCAAACAACAAATTTTACCAAACAATCATGAACAACTAATACAAAGTCAAAATAGCTTCTACAAACTGCTGATCATATCGATAAAATATAGATAACAGCTAACAACTAACCGCTGATTACCAAATATGGTCTTGATAAATGGATCGGAAATTATGAATTCACATTTATATATGACATTATTATGTGAATTAAGCTTTAAAGTTAAGGTCCAAAATTTAACGAGAATATGAACACCAAGAATGATAAAAGAAAATTATACGGAGTAAGATAGTACTAGATAAAATTTTAAATTTGGGTATATTTATAGTTTCTTCGAACACTTATTGATTAATTGAAGAGAGTTCAGATCATCTTAATTGTAACTTAGTGTTGGTCCCGGTTGTACTGGATACAGTCTAGAGGGAGGGGGTGAATAGACTGTATTGGTTTTTAACCTTTTTAAGCTAAGTACCAGATTTAACAGAATAGCCTGTTCTGTTGACAGAACAGACTGGCAGCGGATGAGGTTCTGGTAGGGAGTTCTGTTAGCAGCCTCAGAGAAGCAAAGGCAGTAGGCCTTCTGTTAACTCACAGGACCAGTTCTGCTGAACACAGATACCAAGTCTTTGGAGTTTAACAGTTTAAATGAAAACTATGAATGTAAAGTAGTAAGTAAATGACACCAGGGCTTTTTATAGTGGTTCAAGGAACAACTTGTTCCTCTAGTCCACTGTTTCACTAAGCTCGTAAAAACTTCCGTTTACAATGCCTTAGCCCTATCACTTAAGAAGCTCTCCACGTCTTCTTCAAGTGTAGATGTCTTCTTGGATGCACTTCCGGCTTCCCTAAGACTGGTCCTTTCACTGAGCTTTCCCAGAAGTATCACCACTTCACAGCTCCAGGTACTTGGACGTCCTTCTTGTGAAAGAAGAGGTTCTATTTAGAACAGGGGTTCCTCCAACTTGCTTCGTTACAAGGGATTTGTAAGTAATGAGCTTGAAGAGTTGAAGAACGCTTGGAACTTTGCTTGAGTTGGAAATAAGGATTTTTCCAACTTCTGCCTTCTCTTGTATAAGATGATGAAGTTTTAATCTCAAGGAGGCTTTTTGCTATGTAACGTTGAATATCTTCTTTTCAGAGTTGTGCCAAAGGTTAGCAAAGTTATCCGGTTGTTCTTCGTGGTGTATCTTTTATACTGAGGTTGTCTTCCCGTTGGAGGAGAAGGAGGACAACTGCATTAATGAGCGAGCAGTTGACTTGACCAGTAGGACCCGGTAAAGTTGGCGGGTTACTATTTTGGGATAAGGTAATCCTGACATTGCGGCCAATCATCTGCAATTACTCTACGGAGTATGGGGAGCATTAAATGAGCATTTAATGCGTGCACTGTAGCTTTTCCGTTCAAGACTTCTAGCCGTTGAAGGAATCTTTCAGTTGGTTTCCCGGCTTGGTGGAATTATTCCAAGTGTCAGGCCTTCTGGTGTCTTTAATTGAGAGTTGATCAGAGAAGGTCTGGAGCACTTCTGTTGAGAGTATATCCAACAGAGAACCAGGAGGGTTTCTGTCAGAGTAAAGGATAACAGAGACCCTGAGGTCTTCTGTTCTGAAGCAGAGAACCAAAGGTCCTCTGTTCAACCAATGCCTTATCAAGGGTCTTCAGCTCTTGGAGGCCTTCTGCTTTGTAGGTCTTCTGCTCTGGAGGCTTTCTGCTAAGTCGATTAAGCTAAGGAATTTTACAAAGGAAAATTCTTATACATTAAGTCTAAAGAGGGGTACTCTAAAGTCCTAATTAAACTAGCATCATCAAAATCTAATTACAGATATTCCTTACAATTTCCCCCTTTTTGATGATGCCAAAACCCTTTAACTGTTTCTAGAGAAGTGCCTTCACCACAAAGAATTAAAGTTTAAAACTTTCATTAAAATCTTGGTGGGCAACTAGGCATAGGAAAATAGTAAGAGTGCAGTACATTCAGATAGCAGATAATAATTAAAAGGCAAACACAGACAGAAAGCAAAGAGACAGAAATTGAGGAAAAGCCTTACAAAGTGAAAAGGCAGAGATGTGATTTTTATTAGATATGTTTTACAGAAATATTTCTTACACATTCTCCATAGTAGCTGCTTGCAGAGCTTCTTCCTCCAATCTTTGAAGCCTTAGCAGCTCTTCATTAATTTCTGCTCTGATCTTAGATAAATTGCCAGAGCTTTGATAAGATGCCCATATGGGAGA